ATATATTAGTAAATACTTATGGCTTCACAATTATGTCCAAAATAATTCCACTAATTAATTCAATTCAGTTTAATTCAACATATTTTTTATTGCTCGTTGTGTATTAAACAAACAGTAGGTGAACAAGGCTTTCAGTTCAAAATAAAACTTAAATATATATCATGTATTATAATTGTGCAGCCCTTATACGTACATATACATATGTATACATATATACACATAGAAACGTATATATACACACACATACATACATACAGACATGCATTAATATATATCAGCATATCAACTGACATTTCCCTTGGTCCTTTGCGGGTTGTAGACTGCGATTGTCCAGATCATAGTGTGAGGCCAGGTGTTTGTGTAACTGTCACCATAATAAATAACTGTTCAGCCTTTTATTGTTTACTTGATTGTCCCGAAAGGGTATGTATGTGTGTGTGTGTGTGTGTGTGTCTTCTAACAAGAATGAATGAGGTGCATTTAAATGAATGAATGGGAGTGGAGTTTGGACGCTGCGGGCACCGTGTAGTTTTGAGGTAATGTCTTCCACCATCTACGACTCCCCGGAGACGGTCAGGTCGAGGAGAATTTCTCTTTTTCCCAGACACCACCCTGTAAGACTCCCATGTGACGGTGGCTCAGAACTATGGGCCTAGTTAAACAGGAAGGCCTCCAGTGGAGTTGGTGTTTAAATAATAGTACCTCTCCAGGCTGCTGTATCCAAACAGTTTGTTTTAGCATTTTCTACACCTGTGAGCCTCCGATACACTGGAAAGAAAATGATATCATTTATCGTTCGAGCATAAGTCATCAAGGCTAAAGTATGCGGCGAATTTCAATTAGTCATTGTACAAATGGCTTTATGTGGCAAAATACTCCAAGAACATTTTTGGATGCTGCTGAGCCGAGCCACAATGGGCCATTCCTCCTGGGGGTTGTAAAACGCACCGGAGGAAGAGGAGGAGAAGGGGTAAGGAAAGGCAGGGAAAAAGTGGGGGCAGAGGGAGACAAGAGTTCAGAGAGGGGACGCTGATGAAAAGGTGAAAGGTGGGGAGAGATTACAAGAGGAGAGAGAAGGTGACGAGCCAGGTACAAGACACAAAACAGAGGAGTTACACAAGTGGAAGGGAGGAGGGAAGAAAGGAAGGAAAGAGGGGACGAAACAAAGGATATCAGCCAAAAATGGAAAAGAAAGACAGGAGGACGAAGAAGGGAGATCTTGATGAGTACAAATTCTACATAAATCTGCAGTCAAAGTGAAATAATGCTTGTAGGAGATTTTGTTAAAAATCCCAAAAGCCTTCTAACTTACTCCATAAATTAACCCTAGACTGAGGAACAGAGGGTGAAAAAAAGGGACGCTACTAATTAGACATAGTATCAGAGGGCAGCCAAGTGCACAAAAACAATATATGTAAAAAACTGTGGTTTTTCCCTGCCCAGAGGATGACAATCATCTGAATGAACACCTCAAAAATACTTCAACTTTAAATTTACTCCCGACAGTTTTTAGATGTAACTGTTTGTGCACATCAGTATAATCATCATAAACTGTGAGACACACAGGAAAATGTATCCCTCTTCCAGGGAGGATAATTGCTCTTAGTCAAAACCTAAGCCAAAATTCCTTTGTCAGACAAGAGGACAGTTAAGGAGTTGTTTTGTTAAAATTCATTTTTGGTAATATTTGGGAGAATTTTAAGAATTATTCCTACACGATTGAACACTTCAATAACCTCAGAATTCTTTAAAAAAATGATATATGTACAGAGACAAATATAAACATATAAAAATATGTGTATATAGACACACAAACAAATGTAAATATATAGCCATATATATGTATGTATATATGGCTAAATATATTTTCTTCTCTAAACTGTATGCTTCAGTGTTTTGTTCATATATTTGTCACCTTTTTTCCTCTGCACTGAGCTTTAGCTCTACAGGTGGAGTAGGGCATAGGCTATTCTGGAGCTAATTAATCTTTCCAATCAACATCAGGGGCCACGGGCATTTCTCTCATTTGCCTTCCATACTGTAAAGCAGTGGGCTATTTAAGGAGAAGTAGAACAGAGCAGGGAAAAGGGAAGGAAACGCCTGTCTAGACTCCCACCAGAGCGGCAGTCTGTACATTCTCCAGGAGCCCCCACAGGCGCACACAAACACAGCCCTCATCCTTAAAAACCTCCACTCCATCCCAACATACACCTCCTTAAAATCCTATATATTGGTGCTTTGCACACTCCGCTGCAATCACACACACACACACCAGTGAAACATCTCAAGGATTTCTTGTACATATGACGTCATGAAGAGTTAAAACAAATCAACAATGAGCACAGACACCTCAGTGTGTTGAAGCCTGCACCTCTATACCAGCTGCCACCTCAACATCAACTGAGTGTTTAAAACACACTTGCACACAAACACACACAATCAGGTCCAGACTGACACACCGAGGGTAAACAGGGCAGGTGAGTGAAGAATGATGGCTGCTCCTTAGCAGAGCAGGTCTCCACGCCTCGCTGCCTCTCTTTCACACACCCATCGCCGTCTGGTCAGTCTCAGCCTGCATCTCTCACACACACACATACACAGACATACACACTCTTACACACACAGTTAATCAATCATACGTGCATGCACAATGCATTGCCTCTGTATGAGGCAGAGCCAGGCACGTCTCAGTAGCACCAGTGCAGGTAGGTTCAGAACACAGACTTGAAGAAAAAAAGACGTCTTAGGTTGAACACTTGCTACTGCAATCAGACACTAAGGTTTTTGTTGATTTCATCTCCTGATGCACATGGAGTCGGTGAGCATGAATGTAAAGATTTGTAGAAAAATAATTTTTGGGATTCTCGCTGTAGTTTCTGCTCTTATCTGCTGTAAGCCTAAGGATGTATTAATATGCAACCATTTGGTTTGGGAGCTTTACAACCCTACAACCCTTTCAAAAAGAGAATATATATATAAATAGTAAAAGGATAATTGAATAAAAATAGATTTACTCACTCTGTGATCTTGGGGTCAATGTTGCCTATCCATAAGCGGTTTCCTTCATGGGCCACACTCTCTGAAATAATGGAGGCATTTTCTACAGTCTCTGCTGCAGACGACATGTGTTCTCTGAAGAAGAGACAATTTGTAGTAAGTAAAAGAGGAAATGCTTGTGAAATAACAGCAAAAAAAAATAATAAAAAACGAAAAATGAACACTAATTGTATTAATGTATTTACAAAAATGTATTTACAAAATATACAAAATATACAAAAAGTTATAACAATATATTTATAAATTGTGAGTGACCAGAGGGCCTGAATAATAGCAAAAATAATACTTTTAATGACATCTAATACCTCAGTTGATCGTCATTTATATAATCACAAACAATAAAATAATCCAGAAAAATATTCAGTTAAGTAAAGAAATCCAAGTAAGTAAAGATAAAAAATAAATTTATATATATATATATATATAAACACGCAGATTACCCTCATACTGATTGCTAAAATGTCATATCAGTCTGTAATGTGGGCTGTAGCCCAATTTATGAGCATTTATTTGGGTTGTATCATCACGCATGGCTTTTTTCCCTTTTCTTACTCGTGATGTTGCTGGACCTTTCAGATTCTCTGTTTTATATTGAGCTGATGTGTGCTAACGATTAGCTGGTATGGGCTTACCTGTGCGATCTACCAAAGCTTCTTTTCTACAACAGCGATTATTTCAGCCTAGGTTCAGTATGTCACTAGAGAGGCGTCTTATATACGTCAAAGTGTAAAATAAATCATTTTGGGGTTTTTTTTTTTTACTCTTTATTTTATAAAACCGTCTAAATCAACGAGTACTCTTTGTTTTATAAAACCGTCTAAATCAACGAGTCTTAACACTTAACAGTCACCGTCCGTCAACAAAGACGCAGACTGATGCTGTAGTTTGTTTCGCTGTACGCGGAAACTAGAGGAGGCGCTTGCTTTACTCATGCCGAGTGCCCGCCTTACCTCCGTGTCTCTCCGACTTATGTCATGACTCACTTCAAACGGACACAGTGCTGAAACTACGCTCTCTAATGAAACGTTTCAAGCTCCCATCGGATGTTGATAAAACTCTGACGCGAGGTGATGACGAAAACGACGCTGACGTCAAACGTGGCTTCCTTCTGCTGCTTTCCAATGTGGACCCCAGTCCTCTCTTTATAGACTTTTTAGCTGAGAGTAAGTACAGCTTTTGTTTAACCGTGACGTAAATGACTGGTGGTTTTATGGTTTTCGTTTTATTAAAGCAAAAACAATTTACGTAAACGTTTAATATTTAAATGTTCGGGTTTGCTCAGCACACGTGATATCAATCTGTCGACCTTCATACTACTCCTGTGTTAAAGCAGCTACCTTTAGCATGTATTTGTTTTATGTTTAACACATAATTGTATGTATTATTCTTAATGTAGCTGTGAAAGTAAGCCCTTACTATAACCCGGAAAGCCTCGTTGACTGTAAAATGAATTTCTACAACGAATTTGTTGAGTTTTAAACACCTACATAATCTGTTCTGTATACCTTTTAGTCCAGCATTTCCCGCAATTATAATACACGACAGAACACAATTTGAATTTAAGTAACGTGTTACTAATGGTCTGAAATATATGCCAAAAATGTGGTACTGTTATCTGACTCGAAAGTATGTCAAGTTAAAATGTTTTTATCACATACTATTTAGAAAATCGATTTTTGTCACTCACATTTAAGATGTCTGGGGTTTGCACTAATTATTAAGATTTGTATACATCGTCAAGTGACTTAAAGTCAGTCAGCGATAGATGGCGATGCGGTGTTTAAAGACAAAAACGTATTCTAGCAAACTCAGACGAGTTAAAATCCCATTTAATATTTTACATAAAATAGTTAAAGTATAATCAAGCAATACTTTCCATCCCAGTGTAAACACTAGGGATGTAACGGTACAGAAAAAGCCATAGTTCAGGTAAAAACATGGGCAATGAGTGTGTCTTTTCTTCCTGTATTATATAATTTATATAATTATAAATTATATTTTGTTTGGAAAATATACATATTATATATATATACTGTATATATATTAGGGGTTGCAAGACTGTCGACTAGTTGCTGATGACATTTATATTTTCAAATCATTAATAAAAAATCATAGCAGAAGGCAGCGCTTCATAATAATCTGTATTCAACGTAGACATGCTCCTTGTACACATCATTTTACACAAAACAATAAGTATCCTAGCCACAACAAGTAACTACATGTACTGTAACAGCCCTGTTTGACACACATCTGCTTCATTTTCTGCAAAAGATAGCAAAGAAACAATGCAGGCTCACGAGGCGGTTGCCGCCAGTAGCAGAGGCAGACGTCTGCAGCTGCTGCTGTGTTTGACGCTTACACGATATGGGGCTACAGTATCACACTGAACACCTGTGCTGCACTTTTTCTGCTTGGTTTACCATATAAAGAGATCTGTCACTGTCCCACATCTTAGCCTATCTGCTCTGTCACTGTGCATCCAATCATATCAGCATGACAGGAAACGTGCCAGACACAGACGCCTGGGCTGTGTGTTATGGTTGGTGGTCCACTGTCCTGCTTAAATATTTACCTTTAACAGGTATTTGAGTTTTTGGCAAGAACACAATGGTTTTGGTGCCTTTATGATGTTCTAATGATTATGATGTAATAATTATATTTTTCCATTAGCCAACAATTTATCTACCATAAAAAGTAGTAAATGGTGCTGAATGTTTATTGGTGAGTCTTAATCCTTCAACAGTTGACAGACACATGATGCATTAAGCAGGAAAACCTCTGTTCATGTGTGTCAACAGCTTTGTTCGGCAGCATTTTGTTTTGTTTCTCCTCATAGTTTACAGCCAAAAACACAATGGAGGATGTCAGGTGGGCAGCACTAGACCACAAGCTGTTCACAGTCAGCGGCTGTGAAAGGCAGGGGTTTATAGCATGTGTTTGTGTCTGTAGGCTTCCATATCTCAGAGTATGTCCATCTGCGTGTATGCTGAGGTTCACTGACACACTACGTGCAAGGTGGGGGGTGGTTTGGTTTGTCCACTGTGTATATAAGTGAAACGTGGGGTTCCCTTTCAATGCCTAAACAGCCATGGTTGGCTGCAGTAGTAGTACAATAGTAATAAGTATATAGTACTTTATAGTTTATTTGTTCTTGAATTAAAGAAACAAATGTATAACATTTCTAAAATCTGCATCTTACACAATAGTGTAATGTACAAATACAAATAAACTACTTTGTCACACTTGCATGTTGAATTGCAACATAAACACATTCCAAGAAAATATACCATATTGCTAATCTAATTTATTTGTATCAAATTCAAGCTAACCTGTCAAAACTCATATTTGTTAACTAAATGGCAGTCTGTGAGACAATGAATGTAGCTCCCATACAAGATGTAGGCCTACCTCCTACTGGCTGATATGAGAAATGACTTCACTTTGAAAAATGGTGCAACTTATACTTACCACTGATTATGTGAAGTAAAGATAAACTGAAATTCTGTGGATATAATGTTGAGTTATAGGTTTTTCTACCCATCTACCTATCTATTTATCTTCTTCTCAATCAGGAATGGCGTTAAATAATCTGGGTGTGCTGCGACCCCTGCTGTGTCAGTCACTGCTGCGTCAGGTCAGACCCCCACTTGGGCTCGCATCCCGGGTCAGAGCAGCACCTCTGACTCCTAACACCGCCGGTTTGCCCGCTGCAGTTACCAGACTTTATGCCACCAAGAAGGCAAAAGGTCAGTGGAAATGAAAGTCTCTGAAGGTCATTTCTGCTCGATGCTATTTGTTTTTGTGATATTATCTCTGTTTTTACTTCTCATTGCTCAAGCAAAGGCAAAGAGCCAGTCTGGAAAAGTGAATATTAATTCAGCCCTGGTGCAAGACATCATTAATCTGGAGGAAGTGAAGGCGGACATGATTGCTGTTGTCAATTCACTGAAAGATGACTTCACCCGCAGCCTAAACATCCGAACATCTCCAGGTATTTATCCCTATCCCTGCCCTCGGTGTGTCTCTGAAAAGCAGTGACTCACAGGTTCAAACATGAAGTCACCTCGAAATCAAATATGATTAAAGATGATGTGTAAATGACTGCAGTGTTGGCCAAGTGCTGATTTGATGACAGACTGAGAGGAAAAATGAACTAGGGATTAAAAAAGGAAATTTAAAATGAGAACTCATTCATCGTAGAGCTTCATTTGAAATGCTCAACTTATCATTCCCTACCTAGAAAACAAGAGTAAAATACTGATTATTGTAAATGAAACTGAAATTCAGACAATCAGATTCTGAACAATGTTCCATTTTTGTTCTCCAGTTCTAAGTATGAGTCAATGGTGGACTCCAGGTCTTTCTCACTGCAGAGTTCTCACTGTAAAACCATTGATAAATCTGTTTTATCTGAGTGCTTCTCAGTCACATCGCTGCACACACTTAACTTTTACAACGCTGGCTGCTTAAGACTTCCTCTGCTTTTCCCAAGAGTCATTAATATCACTGACTGAACAGATGCCATCACACATGTAAATGGGGAAACTCTCAGAATCCCTTTTATATGTATGAGGATTATACACGGACAGTAAATATAATACAATGATTGACGACACGTTCATCACTGAGGTCATTTATGGGACATCTTTTCTGCAACTTCTCCTCTGGGTTTTTGTAGTTTCGCTTTTAGAGCCTGTTAGAATTTACTGGTAGAGTTTCAAAAATAGTTTAGCAGTCTGTAGAAAAGAGAGGCAAAAGCTGATGTTTATTCATCGTTTTCATTTGTCTTCTTCAGTCATGCTTCCGAAACAGTGGTTTATTTCTTTCTTTTAATTCTTCTGCTTCAGGTATCATAGTAAATGTTAAATAACCCTTTAACTGCTGGAACTATACCTCAAATTCACAATTGACCATTTCTGTGTAGACCTCACACTTCCCAGCAGTTTACAACATAACATCTTATCATTATCCACTTTGATCAGTAAACTGCCATCTTTGAACGCATCAGACAAATTGCCTGAAGGCTCACAGTGAGGAGAGTCCTGTGTCACCTCACCTTGACCCCAGTTTCCCCAACTACATCCAGGTCGTGACACTTTGCCTCTGGCTTGTAAGAATTGGGATTTGGGCCAGGAGGAATTAGAAGTCGGATATATAATGGAGGCTCCCTGGGGAGGAGGCAAACAAGTTTGGAATCAAACTTCAAAACGTAAAGTGTCTCGAGCTTGGACTCCTCGACCGTGATATCACTTTCAGATGCTTGACGTTTCTCCAGTGGGGAACTTGTTTTGTTGAAGAAAACATGGAAGCTACTGAGGCACAAACACAACCTTGATTTTCATGGTTGATCCCTCAGTGTCCTGTCTTCCTGTCTTCCACCTTGTCTTTTCCCATTAGTTTTTTCACGTCATTCTCTGCTTCTCAACATTCATCAACAGATGTTTGAGTCATTTTCTATCAGCAGCTCCTCCCTTCACTTTTCTTCTATTTGCTTGTTTTTGTCTTTCTCAATAATTCCTGGACTCGCAATTTGGCTTGTGCCCATGACATTTCATGTCCGTGCATTCAGATTTCTTATTAATCCGCCGAAGAAGAAAAAAAGTTTTCCCCCGTGAAGCAAAGTTCAAGGATTTGAAGCATTCTTTTCTTCCGTCACCTCCTCCATCCCTCCTGCTCTCCCAGCAAGCCCCTCGCCATTCTTGATCCGTCCCTACATCCTGTCATCCTCCCTGTCTTCTCTCTCCATCTGTGTTTCCCCCTCCACTCCGTTCATCCCCCTCTCATCTGTACAGCTGTACAGTAATCCAGGGAGGCAGCAGGACTTAGAGCTGACAGGAGAGATGAGATGGTGGAATGGAATGACGTCAGTCGTCTGAGTCCGAGTGTGTGTGTGTGTGTCTGCGCGCGTGCATGTATCTTCACAAGTGTGTGTTTGTTCCATGACTTGTTCATCTGGCTCTAATTAAGAGTGTGTGTGTGTGTTGATATGACTGTATGAGCAGTTGTGTGTTGCCATGACTGTTGGTGTGTTTGTTTGTGTGCTGTGTTCAGCACAGAGTTACAGATACATGTGAAGGGACGAAGGAGAGATACATGTAACATGAGAAGGGACAATGTAAACAACATGTACACTGTGGTCAGATACAGGTTCTTTAATCTTGGCTGGAACACTTGCTTAATGTCAACGGAAATTAACCACAGTTCATTTGAGGGAATAGTTTTGAACGCTGCATGGATTTCTTCCAAAAGATGAATATATTTTATTTTTGATCTAAACAAAAGTTGTTGGGTTTTTTCTGTTTTGTTTTTTCAAAGCTGCCCTAATGCCTAAAAAGGCTCTAAGACAACATTTTCCTAAGAGTGTTTTTTGTGGCTTTATCCAAGTAACCAATAAATCAGTGATGATCAGCTGGCGGCCCGTGAGCCAAATCTGGCTTACCAAACCATCCGAAATAAACATCTGTAAATCATAATGTGATTTTTTTTATTTTATTTTTTTTAGTGTCTGGTCCCCAAGGTGTCTGTCCAGGAGAAATTCTGGCCCTCTGACAAATCTAGTTGTTGACCCCTGCATTAAGTTCTTTGTTCATTGCAGTGCTTCGACTTTACACGTCCCCACTTATACCCCACTGAGGGTATCTTGGGGTTCAAGTTTTATTTTGGAATTTATTTTGAAGGTTTAGAATTGGGGAGAGGGTTAGATTCAGGGTTAGGATTAAGATTAAACATGAGTAAAATAAGGGAATAAAGGATGGATTAAATCTATTTAGAACAGTCACAAAATGCGTGTGTGAGTGTATTTTAAATTATTTTAAGAGCATGGTGTCTTTCTACTTCTTTCCCTTTTCTTTTTCTTTCATTTCTGTAAAACCTACATCCCTATTCTTTGAGAATCGCTTATACGATCATCTGCCACGATCTATTAAACCTTATCTACTTCCTACTTTTCCTACTACCTGTCTATATACTACTATCTTCATGTTTGTCTGTATCGTCGTATAACTATCTTCATGTTTGTCTGTATCGTCGTACTCGGCTGCAGTGTGCCGTGGAACCAACATGCTCAGGGTGATGCTGTAAACAACCGCTGTTTGGTGCTTATCGTCAAATCTCTGCCTGCCGACCGACTGGATGAAGCTGTGTTGTTAGCAGCTGCACAAACAAACAGCTGCAGTGAGATCAGCTGATACGAACAGTGCACTTCTTTGAGCTTATCTTTTGTGTGCACATACAAAGTGTTTTGTTTTGGGTTTTTTATCTGATAATGTACTGTAATGTGTACTATAGCATTTTTTTTTTTTTTGAAAAAAATAGTTGGCTTGACACCAATACTGTAGTATTTACGGCACTTGGAACACTTAATGTCCGACTCTCCGCTGCCCCCACAGCCTCCAGCTTTATTACAGAAAAGACGTTCTGTCTGCTTGTCTGTCCTATGAAGATAGAGACGAGGCATGAGACATCTATAGAACAATGCATATTTGTTTTTCTTAGTTCTAATCTCTTACCCTCTGGTCAGGTGTCTTCTTTTACACATCATTCAAAATGATCATAGAGAGGAAAATTACCTGACACACACCAACACACCCACCCACGAACAACAGCGCAGCCCCCTCTGGGTGAGTGGGGAGGTGCTGATGTAAGACAGAGTTAGAGAAGAAGGAAACAACTGCGTCTGAGGTTAGCCAGATAGGAGAGAAGAGAGGGGACGGAGAGCGGTTGGGGGGTGGTGGTGTGGTAAATATAAAGAATGAGCTGGTGAAATGGAGAGGGTGATGGCAAGGGAGAGGAGGAAGTCACCTCCTGTTGGCACACTAACATAAGGAAGATGATGGAGACTTGACTTTTTCAGTGGGGTTTATCTGTGGGTCAACTGCTCTGTCTGTAATAGTCAAGGTTGTTGAAATTTACAAAGTACATGATTAATAGTTTTGTTTTTTTTTTAATTGAGCCTTTGAGCTGTTTTATATAGATTAAAAACACAAGAAATATTTGTGAGTATCTGAGTAACATAACAGGAGCATGTATAGGCCTCATCCCTGAGCTCTTAATATCATTGTCCTTCAAAACATTAAAATATTCTATTATCCATATCAGCTTGTACTTATATCCCAACATTTTTTGTTTTAATAACCGGTTGGTCCATGGACCAGGGGTTGGGGACCCCTGACTTAAACTGAAGTAAGATTAAAAAATAAATATGACAAAGAAAAAGATTTTGTTAAAAAAAAACATAAAATGACAAACAACTGAAGATACCAATAGAATTAACTGTGATTTACTGGACACAACTATAGCTGTAATAGTACTTCAGAATTAGCCAGATTAAAAAAAAAAAGTTGTTTTGGTGCTAAAGCAAATGTATTCAGTCAAAGACAAGTATAAATAACCTTAAATACTTTTTTATTAAATGCTGAATTAAAGTGTGCTAAAATATATGTGAAGTTTAGCATAGACATTGGTAAAGTTTTAAAATCCTTAGCCAAAAATATTGGCCCAGAATCCTTCAACATCAAACATCTGCTGGGATGTGGAAATCAATGATAATCATAGTGTATGGTGAATGAATATGTATAGCTAATCATTAATATATATATAAATACTATATTTGTAGGAGCCCTGGATCACATTGTGGTGACGACTCCTGATGGAAAGTTCCCCCTCAACCAGTTGGGTCAGGTCTCCATGAAATCACCTCAGCTCATTATGGTCAACATGAGCGGCTTTCCGGAGGTAAGTCGATCACTCGCAAACACACACACACACACACACACACACACATCCAAACACGCACTAATACTGAATCTCCGTACTGGAATCTGTTTGCCTCACACAGGCGAGTATTCAGTAACTAAAAGCTTTATCAAAATAATCCAGAGCACAGACAGATAAATGGTTCTCAGTGAGAGGAAAGTGAGCCAGAGCAGGACTGGACTCTCACATCCGTCTGTCTAAATGAAACCTGACCCGCTCCTCTGTTCTCCAACTGCGTCTCAAACACTAATTGATTGATGACTGGTGGAGCCCTTTGTTCTGGGGGTGAAAGATAGCAACAAGAGCCCAACACTGTGTGTGTGTGCATGGAGATGTGGTTGTGCCTGCGTGTGAGTTGTCACAAAAGAGGAAATGACATCATCCTGCCTCCAGGTTAAAAGGGAATAGATTATTTTTCCTTTTCTTTTTTTTTTTCACTCTCTTCACTCGCCCTCTGCTTCTTTGCAGATGATATAATGCTGTACTAATTAGAGCTACGGGCAGAGCATTCACACACAGAGGTGCAGCTCCAGTTGACCAGACCGTACTGTTGCTGTACAAATTCTATAATGTGCTGATTAAATGTTGTGTGTACAAGGATGGTCTTTAAAACGCAAGGCAAAAGGTTCGATTCTAGGTGTCACAACAAACCTGCCCTCAGTTCTTTATTATGCATGGTGTTGATATGTCACCCAGATGAAGGGAAGGGCATGAGAGTTCCCACGTAAACAGTACCCTCAACAGTGACCCCTAGGACTCTAGTTAAAGGAGCTTGAACTTTTAGAAGTAATAATGGTCCTAGAGTGCGGCATCCACTGAGTTGAAAAAAATATATATTCAAAGTGAGAATTATTACCTAGAATTTATCTACAGCTAACATAACGTAATATTCTCAATAGCACTAGTATTTTGTTGTGCATTGTAGTTTTTATAAATTCCACAGTCTGATTCAAAGATATCAGTGTTTGACACAGTTAGAGATTAGATAGGTTTAAATTAGGTTAGATTAGATTAGATTGGAGATTAGAAGTAGTAAACTTTCATGTGCATGTTGCAGAATTATACACAATTTACAAAAACAGATTTACATCTTTGAGGGATTCATCTTCTCTTTGTATAAACAAAATATATATTTAGGATATTGGGTATTCCTGGCAGTGATGGTCCGTCCCTATGCTGTTGTTGCAAATACATTTTTACAGTACTTTCTCTCCTCATACAGTTGTCAACCGATTTAGATGAACACCAAGTTATTTCCCCAGAAATTTAAAAGCTTCTTATTTTAATCCTTTTTTTTTGGCTTTAGTGTCTTGACCCCTGACACTAAAGCCAGTGGTTTCACCTCATTTTTATCCTTTTATAAGTAACACAGATATTTATCGGCATCTTAGAGTGTCCAACACAAGTCCGTCCGTTTCCACCACTCAGTTTGTTTCCATCTCAAACAGGCAGACCACCGACCACACACAAACTCTTGTTTTTGTTTTTGGTGGGCACCACCCCTCAACTTAACTGTTACTAATGTAAAGCTAATTTTAATCTTAGTCTAACTCTAATCTGAGGTTAACTATAATGCTAACTCCAAACCAAATCTTGAACCAAATCAGGATGTATCGTAACCACAAATGTCCCTACAAAGAGAAGTGTCCCAACAATTAGAGTGGTTTCACATTTTTAATAACATTATATTGTTATTATGTATATTTGTTCCCATAAGTATAGCTTTGCCAGCATAGAGGTACCCACACACAGCACCACCACATCTTGCCCTGTCCCACCCCTGGGGTGAGTCCTCAGTGTCCAGAGCTGATAGACTTATAATGACGCCTATCCATTTCTCAGCACTTCAGAGACTCAACCTTTGTTTTCCCTTCATTCATTACGCAGCACTTGAAACAACTACATCTAAGATCAGGAGGCAATTTACTGCCAGTGCATGTGTTTATAAGGATGCGGCATCACCACTTTGTTCATTTAGTGAAACTATTTTCTTCGGAAATCACTCCTTCACACACCCCTCCCCACAGACACACACACGCAGACTCACACACAAGCTCCGCTGGGCTGTGCTTTTGAACCTCTCCGACCACGTTTGATGTGAAACCACAGTGTAATTTCTCTTCCTCTCCAACATATTAACCAGAACCTGCTCGGCCCTTTTTGCAGATTCCAAAATTCCACTTGTTTTCTTTCTTTTTTTTTTTCGTAACCACCAGAGTGGGACGCTGGACAGGGAGGGTCGGAAACACTGATGAATTTGATGCTGAGAACAATCAAACATAGGTATGGCCTGAATCGATCACGCCACACTCAAAGAGGGAGCAAACCAGAGGTCTGCACTCCGGATGATTTTTTTTTTTTAACAAATGAAAAAAGGAACTTCCTGGATTGATTTAATGCACACAAATAAATTCCTTTAATCTCGCTGCCATGGTTTTTTTTCCCCCAATGGAAAAAAGTTTGGAGTGAGCTCGGCAGAAAGGGGAATGGAGTAGAGCGGGTTTAAAAGAAAAGAGGAGGAAATTATCCCTCTCCTTTTTTACATTGCTTTTATTAAAGCTCCGCTCAGGGATTTGTCATGTGGTTGCAGATTTGGTTTGAGGAGTGTGACTCAGAAATTTAAAGAATCTAGCTTCATCCCACTTGTGTGTATGTGCCGTTCAACTTTGTTGCTCAGGGTTTAAAGTATTGTTTGTAAGACCAAGGGATTACACTGTGTATATAGAATGTAATGTCTTTATGGTTCGCATATGCAACGGTTGTTTCAATAATTACCATGGAGCTTCACGCAAGGTTGTTTTTCTTCCTGCATGCATGGGCTTCCAACTGAGAAAAGATGTTGTGGAAGTGATTAAAGTCATGAGTTTTGACTGGACACCAACTTTTGTTCAATTTTTTCTTTTTTCTTTTTTTTTTTTTTGTTTTGATATCATGTAGCATCAAATTGCACCAGATTACTTGTTCCTTCACCGAAAACAGATACTGTTGTCATTTTATTCTCCCTCGTTCATAATGATGACAAATGGTGTTTTTTCATATAAATATTTTTGGCAACATCCAAGAGGAAGTGCAGATGTTTTTGTTTCTGGTTATATTTTTGTCCAACTATCCAACAGGCCAGTGTTTCCCAATGTTTTCTGAGTCATGGCACATATTTTGCATTAGAAAAGTCCCATGACTCACCACCAAACAAGTGTCTCAGAAACTAAATGTAATAAAATACAATGATTTTCTAGTTTAAAATTAACTTTAATTTTTAACTTCAATGTGAATCATGGGCCTGTTTAGTTGAACACGAAACTGATATACTCACAGGGATTGAAGAAAGACGCCCATGAAGATCTTCTACAGCTGTGAGAGTCATTTTGTTGATCCATATAGCCATCTGCTGTCACCTTGTGGATGAGAGTTTGTTTTTTTTTTATTCACTGTCACATAGAGGTAGTGCAGTATTTGCAGTAAATAAATATTTGTTTATAGTGAAATTTGAATTGCTGCAGTGGGCACCACTTCACGATCAAACCTCATGAATCTGTCGCCAGGTGTCCAAGTCAATCAGAAACTTGTGGGTTAAATGAGTAGTGTTTAAACAGTGCGCTGGATTTGAAAATTTAAAAAAATCCCAAATGCAAACTTCTCTAAATAGTCACAGAGGTAAAGTAGTGAAGCGAAATAAATTAAAACTTGTTAAGACATTCATTTCAGACATTTCACGGGTCTCTAACTGCTTTGACAGGTTTTATCATCATATCTTTTAAGTGTGAAGAATCACCATATTTTCTATTTCATCAGCCCAATTTTAAAATCAAACTTCAAACTTTAAAGCAAATTTGAATGAAAACTGGTTTAAATACATGTATGTGTGTGTGCGTGTATATATATATATATATATATATAAATATATGTACATGAACATGTGTATGTATGTGTGTATATATATATACACGTATATGTACGTGTGTGTATATATGTACGTGTGTATATATATGTACATATACATATATGTATGTGTATATATGTACGTGTGTATATGTACGTGTGTGTGTATATATGTACATGTACATATATGTATGTGTATATATATGTACATGTGTGTGTATATACTGTATATATGTGTACATATATGTATATATGTATATATACAGTATGTGTACGTGTATATATATATATATACGTGTATATTTATAGATGTACATCTGTATGTGTGTATATGTATATATTTGTGTGTGTGTGTGTATATTTAGGTAATGATGATAATAATAATGAAATATATTTAATGCATTGGTGAATGAAAATAGTTGGCAGTTACACCTTTCGTAAAAAAAAATGTGGTCTACAACATGTGTATTGTTTGTGTGTGGGCATGCGTGTGCGTACATGCACTTGTGCGTTTGTGCATGCATGCATTTGTGTGTGTGTGTGTGTCCATACACAGGCAACAGCAGACTTTTCTGTGAGGTCACCAGAAGTCAGTGCCCTGCCCTGCAACCTCTCAGCCCTGTCCCACAGGGCCACGCGCTGACAGTGGCCTGAGGCACTTCCACACAGCCTGGGCGTCCCAGGAGACACACACACACACACACACTCATATATATACAATGTGTAATACCTAATGACTCCCAGCTGGAGCCCTGCCACTACCTGCAGTCGTAGCTCTGCTTTTCAGTTAACACCAGTGTCTGTGTGTTTCTGTTTCTCTGTGTGTGTGTGTGTGTGTGTGTGTGTGTGTGTGTGTGTGTGTGTCCAGGCTACAGCGGCTGCCACCCGCGCCTTAAGGGAGAGTAGCATGAACCTAAACCCAGAGGTGGACGGGACGATCATCAAAGTGCCTGTTCCTAAGTAAGTCTATAACACACACACACCATGCCTCTCCTGGTCCCTTATCCTAACCTCAAAATACCCTCCTTCATAGTGGGAGCCATAGACATGGACTCTCTCTCTCTCTCTCTCTCTCTCTCTTTCTCTCTCTCGCTCTCTTACTCTGTCACTTTCTCCATTCTCTCACTATCTGTGTCTCTCACTCTTTCTTTTTTCAGACGTTTGTATTCCCTCTCTATTTTTACCCTTTCTTCTCTGTCTCTCATTCTCAACTACCAACTCACAAACACCTCAAACAAAACTGTCTGTCATTCACTGAGCCACTTTGTAAAAACAGTATGTTTCTTTACTCACACACACACTCTTACTCACTCATGCACGTCTGTCGGAGAGTGTGTATAAATACTACCCTGTGATTACGTGCATGTATGTTCATATGTGTGTGTGTGTGTGTAAATAGAGCAGCAGGTGTTAGTCTGGCAGAGGAGGGGACACACTAGAGTCAGACCACTCTCCCCCCTGCAATCAGTCTCGGCACGCTCCAAACTTCCCATTTGCATTTCCGAGGAGAAGGCGCTCCTTGATTGGCCCTGGAATCAGTAATTAGGCCGCATTGTTTGTGGTAAATAGATGGCGCACGAGGATTGTTTGCAAATAGTCCCAGAGGCGAAAACACCAGGAGAAAAGAAAAAAAAGCCAATTAGGGACAAAGAGGTGAAAATTGAAAGTAGGATTTTCTAAGTGATTAACAAATGACCTGATTTGAAACAAATGGCTTCAAATCAGGTCCTGGATCTCACTAAGTGATTGTTGGGATATGTGGGTTCTGTGTCAGAACTGAAATGATTGGATTAATCCCTGCAGACACTTTTTTTTTTTTTTAACTGGAGCTGTGCATTATGAACGAGACTTTCCTTTCTCTGTCGTGGCCTCATGTCTGCGCTCCTGTTCCACGTCCTCTCTCTGTTGTTCAGAGTAACACGAGAACACCGGGAGAACCTCTCCAAGGTGGCCAAGCAACTCAGCAACAAGGCCAAAGACTCGGTGAGGAGGGTTCGATCCAACGCCGTCTCGCAGGTCAAAAAGGCAAAGGAGGGAAACTCAGAGGACACCATACATCTGGTAGAGAAACAGGTATGGGACAGAGGACGACCAAGAGGTGCTACCACACCACACTGACTTTAGTCTCAGTAAACGTATTGATAATTGACCTAATTTAAATCAAATACGGTTATTTCCTTTTTTCACCATCTGCGTCCTTCCACAAATTTAAGGTAGTCCAGTGTGAAAAACTAAACTAGTGTGATAAACAGATTTCTGTGTCAGTAAATATTTTCGACATCAAACATTCAAATACATTTAAAAAATCTAATTTAAATAAATTATATATATATTATTAAAATAAAAAAACATGTTTTTTCTTGTTAAATAAAAAAAAATCATTTTGCCATAAATAAACTTTTATAAATTTATAAACAAAAATGAATAAACCTCACCATTTATTCATATAAACGGCAGGTCAAAATTGGACGGACAGTCTGCCCATTAGTGAACTTTGCTGTAGAGGGCGCTGTATACAAACTGCAGTAACTAGTTTACTATATTGGATTGGATTATTGCCAGGTGCCAATAGGGATGGTACAACTTGTAGTCTCTACCGATGCTGATCCTGGACCAAGCTAGCCCTAATATTGACCGTCTTTGTCAGGGATTTGCTCTCTTGCAAGATAGTAACTATGAGCATCTATGTTAAATTAATATATTGATGTTACAGTTTTTTTTATGTAATTTCCTTTTAGTGTAATCATCAGTCATGCATTGGAGTTTTTAACTTATTTGATCTTGGTGTAAAAAAGGCATTTTCAATAACATTGTTTTTCTTTTTCTCCCTGGACAGATTCAACTGATGATGGACAACATCTCCTCAGACATTGACAAACTGTGTGCAGCTAAGACTAAGGAGCTGCTAGGTGGACAGTGATGGTACCAAAAACTCTGTCTAGGTCTTGTTATATGTTTTTTACTTTGTATCCTTTCTTTATAGCTCCACCTACAGGCAGACAACAGCTCTAACAGGACAACGATTGGATCATTGAGGAGCTGGACTGTTGTTTCACTCCAACAGATAAACAAGCATTGGTTCATTTAGTCTGTGTTTGACTTCTGACTGGTCGACACTGGGCATCGGTGTCTGCCCAGATCACCGGTTCATATGATCTCTGGACCGCAGGATGACATCAGAAATTTACACTGAAATAACAGCAACAACATGCCATTGCCGCCATCATTTTTCCCCTTCTCCAGACAAACTCCAAATGAGGGAAGAACAGACTTGCAACAGGGTTTTTTTGGGCTGTTTATGTAAAACAAGCGCACCCATCCGATTGTAAACTGGTTGCGGTTTGTCTTGGTGGCAGGAGCTGGAGAGAGAAGCTTGGTTCCAGCGTTGTGTGAGCCAACTGAACAGATATCGTTAGCCAGTTGCCATATATTTGTTTCACGTAACTTCAAAGTGTGTTGGAAATGCACGGCAGGAAAAGAACAAGGTCCGTGTGGAGGATTGATAATAACGGCTACTCACTTCTAAACATAATAAAGTCAGGAAAGTCGCATTATTGATGGACTCCATTAAAGGAGCACTGCCTCGTACCATGTGCGTCATCTTTCTTTCTCTTGTTTTCTTTCGCCCCACTCTGAGTTTGAAGTTGCCCCCGCTGCCATTAGCTGGAGTGATAATGGAGGTTTCCTGTGCACAGACCTCCAGGCCTCCTGACTGCTGCCAACACAATTGTCCTCCAGGAAAAGTGGCTGTTAATGTCTTTTTTTTTTGTCTTCAAGTAAACACACTCTTAAAGCTGCAGACAGGAATTTTCATAAAAACTGAGGAGACTTCCTGAAGATGCAATCAAACTAAATCAATCTTTTATTTGAACATTTGATATAAAGGTCAAAAGGACAATGGGCAATATTTCGGTAGGGTTGAGCAACTGGTACAATTGTTACAGAGTACAAATATTTTCATTTGTTTACTCACCGAAACCCAATACCTTTAATGACACTTTAGAATTCTTTGCAAAACATTATGCAAATTATGCATATGCAACTGGTAGGCAGTGCTCTGTGGGTAATAAAGTGACTTGTGCGTTTGTGCATGTGCATTCCAAACCGAGCCATTGTGAAGACATCAGGCAGAAAAATGACCAAAGTCTGTTGTATTTTCTTCTCATTAACAGAATACCTACTTTCATAAGGGCGATGAGACCCAGGACACTGACTGTGTGTTGCTCAGCTGGTCGTGGAGAAAACCTGTTCTGAAATCAGAGGTCCCTGCATCTGAACTTCGTACCGATACTGACGTTGATATCTGTGCATCCCTTATTTTGAGTGGTTTAACTTTCAAGACTAATTCCTAAACCTGCAACACTCTCTAAAAAAACAGTCTCGGAGGCAAAGAAGGGCTAAACAGCCAATCTCTGCTTTAAGGCCGAAGGCAGAAACTGCTGCTTAATGTGCTGACCTCCAGTCCTCCTTAAGTGCTGTATTAAAAACAGCCACAGTGGCTACCTGAGACTTTGCCATGCAAACAAGCAGACGCGCATTAGTAATGGGTTATACCGATGACTAAGTGATTTCTTTTAATACGGATAAGTTTGGGTTTTTTTTTTGGGGGGGGGATTACCCAATAGAACACATGGCAAATACTGCCTTTATTTTTACACAATGTTACCTTTATAGTTTAAATGCTACCATTAAGGGACAAAGACAAAGACTCGTACTCGAGTATCGATATATCCGTGACACAGAATCGATACTCCCGTCATTAACACTTACTTATGATACCGTATGTAAGAAATGTTGAGTCTTCTGTCCTCCACTCATGAGATGGATTGACAGATGATGGACATATCTGTTGGCGTTGTATGTGTCAATTTTTTTTTGTGACAAAAACATAGACAAGTAAAACACAAAACTTTGTTGACATAGTGTGCGTGGGCACTTGATCGGCCTGCCTGCAGTTTACTATTTGGACAAAAGTGTCCTAATATGAAGTGGGCAATCTGACCAAAGATTCATATGTTTAACAAAGAAAAACACTTAGTAAACTACAGACATATCAAAGTGTAGAAAAATGACGTTTCCACTAAAGTTGCTAGTTTTATTCTTTATTTGGTCACTGTATAAACAAATAGGTTATTTGGCCAGTAAAAGACGAACTCTTTTTGCCTGTTAGGTGAAGGTTTAAGTACGAAGCTAAATTTCAGTTGCTTATTTAGAAAGAGAGTCGTCTTTTTCTGCGTCTGTGGTTTGTAAGTAGAAGTTAATTTGATTAATAATGAGCGAAAGTTGACTGTGAAACACACGCGGTGACACGAACGCAGCGCTCTCCTCACGTTTCGGCTGATTACACCACAGATGGTTCCTCGGTGCTCTCATGTGGTCGATGTCTCCATCGTTGTCAGACTCTGTTGTGCTACTGGTCACATGCTGCCCACACAGTTTAACCCCACAGCCAGCCACTCGTTTAATGATTAGAAACAGATAATTAGAACTTCTCTTTCCATTAGAACAGTGAAAAAAAAGATCCAGTGAAACCTGGTTTTGCAGCTTTTATGCTTGGTTGTTTGAATGTTATGTCGCAATCTGTAGCATGGTAGCGGTGCTCAATTGCATGCTGCAGATTGCGGCTTTGTTGAATTTGCCTTGGCCCTCTGTCCCCATGAAAGGCTTTGCTTAAATGGCCCAAACAGAGCAGAGCTGGTGGATAAACAGGAGTTTAGCAGAGGAGTGGCCCGGGCCTGGACAGAGGGCGGGGTGGAAATGTCAGGTTTTTGCGGTGATTCTGGGTCCATATGTCAGCAATTTGAGGGCATTGTGTACCTTGGCCTAAAACAGGGGCTTCATGATCGATGGAGGGCTGAAAATCTGCCCAGTCGTCGGTGCAGAACACAGACGAGCACCGAGGAAATTGCTTTCAGCTGATAGCTTCATTTTGCTTGACATTTATCAAGTGAATTACCCCTGTTTCTCTCAAATGTTTACTACTAGGAGCACCGCCCTGTGACATGGTGTGTGTGTGTGAATGTGAGTGTGTGAGTGCGTGCAGCTGAAAGTTGTGTGCAAGCAATAAATGGTTTGTCCGTAGTTTCTCTACTTTAGTGATTCCCCACAAAAATATACAAGTGTGAATTAGTTCTGTAAACGTTTGATTTGATAGTTTTCATCTACCGCTGCTGCATTTAAGGAGGAAACTTCAGACTCACACAATGAACTCTTAGTTCTAATATAAGACAAAAAGAAAAAAATCTGATTCGACTTGCTGCTGTAGTTCAGTGGGTGGTACTGTTGCCTTTTGCTCTAAATGTCGTGGGTTTGATTCCAGCCATGTATGTATTCCATGCCTGATGTCAGCCAGTAGATGGCAGGACATGTGGTGTATATGGGTATAAATAGAACATGTGATAGTGTCCCTGTTTACGGCATGCCAAGCCAAGTTGAGCATTTGGGCTTAAGTATCAGATGAGACGGGTTACAAATCTGTGATTTTTTTTTTTTTTTTTTTAATCTCCAACTCGTGTTATCATTCTGTGGTGGCAGCAAAAGGAAACTTCCATGCTTCATTGTTTTCATCAACTTAACTTATGCTTGTGACCACAGTATTTGTATAGTTTTACATACACCGAGTTACGGTTTAGCTCAGTGTTTCCCGACCTGTTTAGGCTTTTGAGGCCATCACAAATTTTCTGGTGACCCCAGATTCTTAGATCCTTTTGTAGAATTAGTTTTTGATCATGTTTGTTATACTGTTACATATAGAGTGCAGCCAGATTAGTGTACAAAGTGACATTATTTTACAGTGCCAGCACAGATATTTTTATATGCTGCATTAACCGTATTTACCTAGCTATTAGTCACACAGTTTTTTTTTTATCCTTTGGCTAGGTTTGCGACTTATACTCGGGTGCAACCTATATATTAAAATATATAATTTCACATGTTTCTTATTTTTACACTGACAGCTACTACAGGGCACTCTAGGCTTGTGTACCAGTATCTGCAACTTATCGCACTTTTTTTCATCCTATTGGTGCTGCGACTTATATATGTTTTTTTTTTTCTTCTTCTTCATTATGCTTTTTTTTGCTCGGGCGAAGTGGACTAGTATATGTTTAAGCATAATAATTGGTTGAAAAAGAAATTTTTATTAGTAATATTTATTTTGAAAATCAGCTGCTAAACATTTCAGGCGTCCTCATTTGAATTCACCATCATCGTGGAGTCGCAAACCCTAGGTTGAAAAACAAAGCTATAACTAGTGACTAGTTTTGGTTTTTAATTATTCAGCTTCTATGATTACACTGAGTGTATGTGATGGCCCTTTGTTTGTTGGCATCCCTTTGTGCTGCCATTGATTCCACTGAGAGCTCTGCTCTTCGCTGCTCGATCTAAACTGCGTCAATCGAGCGAACCACTTGAGTTAGGACAGAACACGGTAGAGCCCCCCCACACACACGTGTCTCATTCCCTCCTTTCCTCTCCCTCTCTCTCTCCTCATCACCTCTGGAGTGTACGGAGCCACAGAGTGCACCAAGCCGTCATCAGGCTCTCATCAAGGATTCAATCAACGCGTGAATATGAAATGTCCTCTCCTCCTGCCATGTGAGGATGGGGACGTGGCACGTCAAGAGCCCGTCTGGAGCAAAGTGAAAAAAAGAAACAATCTGCATATGCAAAGTAAGCTCAAACGCTAAATGGACTGGATGTTCAGAAGAGTGTTTCTGACCCTGACAAGGCCGCCGTCGACTCAGAGGAAAAGAATACGTGCAGATTAGCTTATTAATATTTATAGCCGAAGCCGCGGCGGTGCATCAGGCGCTTTGTTGCGCCTGTTGTAAATGCAGCCCACGTCTGGGCCCTAATCCAGACGGACGCTCTAACAGGAAAATGTCCGACCATCTTAGGAGGAAGCTGGATATCCTAATAATCAGGTAAGCTAATACCTGCTGGTGAGAGCGTTTCCTTCCGCAGTCGACGTCTGTCATTCACGGAATTGCTCCTGTCTGTCTGCTCTGAGTGGAGGGTGTACCGCGGCCCCTCCACATGTGCAGTTAAAGAGGGCCACACGGGCCCCTCTAGATGGTCTCTATATCCACAAGGAGGCTCCCTTCAAGCATCACTGGTGTGGGACCAGATGCTCCAGCGCACACTTACCTCCTGCTCCTCAGATCCGGACAAAGCGTTCCTCAGTCCAAAGTGGTTAAACTGTCATTTCAAATGGTCTGGACATCGTGATTACCGGCATGGGAGGAATTATATATTTAGCTTTATGTCCTTGGCCATTTCCTCCCCCCGCCCTGATCTGAAGGGACTGGCCACTAGTGCCCTCCATGTTACTATCTCTGAGGAGCTTAAAGCTTCCCCCAGGAGAAGAGTGTAATCAAGGGCTGCCAGCAGGAGAGAGAGGAGGAGGAGGAGGATGAGAGGTGGATGCTGGGTGGAGGGAGTGACAGTGACAGAGGCAGCTCCACTCACCAACATCACTAGGTCTGAATCTGCAAATAATGAAAGAGAAACGACAGACAATCATTTGAAAATGTAGATTAAAATGTGAAATTTTTTTCACCCTGAGCAATCTCTAGAAATCTTTTTTT